TATGTATGGATGGTAGATGGCACTGGTAAGCAGGCTGGTCAGGGAAACCCTCATGGCAGAGGTGAGGGAAACATCCAGATGTCTGGGCAGAGTCTCCCAGGCAGAATAAGCAGGCTGAGCAAAGTCTTTGAGTGAAGAGTTGGCAGCTCTTAGGACCAACGCAGAGGCCTACAGGATATGGCAGGGGTCCAAGTCACACAGATGAAATGCTATAGAGTGGGCAGGTTTGCTTGATGCTATGTTAGGCACAGACCAAAGGTCAGTGAGGGGAAAGACTGGCTCCAAGGGGCAGGTGCGGTGATGGTTGGCATGGTGATGCTTTGGTTTTTTTCACATTTTCTTTCTGTTCTCTTTGTAATGTTGGTTTCTTTCAGTGTCTTTGGTGCAACACAAATAAGGCATGTCTGGACTACCCGGTTAGAAAAATCCTGCCACCTGCTTCTCTTTGTCAGTTGAGTTCTGCACGCTGGGGTGTTTGCTGGGGTAAGTCATTTTCATTTGCTTCTAGCGAAACTGGTGCTTTTTAAATGATCTAGAATGTGCTCAATTAACATAAATTGCTAGAAAGCTTGTTACTAGCAGCTCTGACACACTTCGATGAGACATGGGGAGGCCTGTGTTAGCCTGGTACTGGGGAAAACAACAGGAATTCCATGGAGAGTCTGGACAAGCATTTTCAGGGTCATTAGCCTCAGCCCTGAACTTTGTCTCTCCGTGTCCTTGGAAGGTGTCGGGGAAAGGACAAGTTTGGAGCTTCTTTTTTCTAGCTTCTCAGCATGTCTCATACTCGTGGTGTTCATGTGCCATCTTAAAAACCACTTGTGGGGACCAGCAGTTAGTGTAATGGCTATGTCATTGGACTCCCATGTAATTGACCGTGGTTCAAGTCCCGGACCCGGTGGCTTAAAACTCACGCCAGGCGCGTGTGCATGCATGCCCAAGATCCCAAGAGGAGAAGGGATTGTGGCATGGCCATCCCCCCCTGGGGGGGTGATTTCTTGCTTCTGTCTCTCTGTCTCTCTCTCTCTGGTGAGCTCACGCGCCCTGTAGCTAAAAAAACTCTCAAAAAAAAAAAAAAAAGACTTGTGGATCCCCGTAGGAGCTCCAGTCTCCCCAGCTTAGGATCCGTGCTTAGCTTGGGCACACCCCTATGTCTTAGTGTCTCTGTTTGTGGTTGGTCTCATAGACATTCTTTTAATGGGAACATCATCCCTTTCAACATTCTGGTTTTTCTGAGTTTGCGTTTTTTGAAAACTATTGGGCTGTCAGAAAAGTCATGACTTTTTTTTGTGTGTTTTCTGTGCAAAAATGCGTCATGGCTTTTCCGACTACCCAATAGTAGGTGGTGTGCTTTGCTTCCTGGAGCTTGTTTTATGTAGTTGAAGTTATTAATCTTCCTTTACAGCTTTCATATCCACCTAGTTGACTATTCTCTGCTGTCCTCACAACCAGGAGGGCTTAAGACATTGCCCTATCCCTCCATTCTGCCTGCTGTCTTCTCTGAACTTTTGCTTACCTACAAATACATTTTCTAAGATTTCTTTGACACAAAATTCTGAGATTTTAAGGCTAGCCAGCATTTCAGAATAGAAAATGAGCTTTTGGTACACTAATGAAATTTTACCAATACCAACTGATCCAGAGATAGCTCCTGGGACGACCCTTAGCATTTTGAGCATTAACTGTTACAGTGTTTTGAAGTGGACACATAGCTTTTAGTGAGGCTCACACATCTGAAGCTTGTCTCTCCCTGTATAGACTGTAGTGTGTGGTATGCGTAACACATACATGCCATTGCTCTTCCATCACCACAGACGAGTGATGCCTCTTCTCCACCTCCATATGAGGAAGTCATGTGCTAGAGCAGATGTCAGTGTGCATTTGAGGCTCTGTGGTTGTAGGGATGTTGTCCATCTTGTTGCTAGGCAGCATTCCACAGCCATTCATCTGTTTGTTTATTTGTAGAGAGGTTTTTGCTATAGGGCAGATGCACTTACTGGAGAGACAGAAAGCGAGAAATCACCCCCTGGGGAGATGGCCATGCCACCATCTCTTCTCCATTCTCTGGTGTGAATTTTAAGCCGTCAGGTCTGGGACTTGAACTATGGTTGACTATATGGGAGTCCAGTGTAATATAATGTAACCATTATGCCATCTGCTGGTCCCGCCATTCATCTGTTTTACACTGAGGGACATTTGGAGTTTCTAGAGCTACTGTGTACTTTCTTGTTTTGGTGTCAGCCTGAGCACTCACTTCTTCTAGGACACTTAGGGGTGGAATTGCTGGGATACAGCCCATATTTATGCTCTGCCTTGGTAGGGCTGCCAAGTGTTTTGTTTATTTATGTATTTCCTTCACATGAAAGAGAGGCAGGCAGACAGATACCCTTGCCAGGGTCTTCTTGCTACTGTTCTTCCCCTAGCCCCACAGCTAGCTAGGATCACAGGTGTGCCTATGTAGACTTGGGATTCAAACCAGGAGCCTTTCCATATGGCTTCCAGCATCTCATAGTAGCACAACCACTGCCTGTACCACTGCAGCTGGGCCTGCCAAACATTTTTGAGAGTGACGATGCCAGTTTGCACTGTTAAAGGCTCAGGACCGCTAGTTACTCCACATTCCTGTCAGCATTCCAGGTGCTCAGCCATCTCAAGTCTATCCATCCTGTGGGTGTATCCTGGTGTCTTATCATGGTTCTGATTCACATTTCTCTGGTGACTAATGCTGATGAACCTTTTCAAGTGGTGAGCAGTTTTGATAATGGTCTTATAAAATAAAATTCTTACTCTAGATTACGGGAATAGCAGAACCCATGGCACCTGACCCTGGACAAATAGGGTGAGTCCTGGCCGGGGAGACACTGCATTCCACACAGGGTCACACGGGGAGCAAGCCTGGTGCTGTGGGAAGCAGCTTCGTAGTAATAAGAGGGTGATGTGCCCCCAGTTCCCACAGGCATTGCAATTGGCATGTCTGATTAGTTCTAAGGGCAGAGAGGGAAATGAAACCTAGTCAGAGATAACAGGCACAGTGCCCAGGCCCCACAAGGAGGCTATTTGGGGACCTCAGCAGAGGGAGTGCATGGATGGGAGTTCAAGGCTGGGCCACTGAAGACCTCCAGGCACCATGCTGCCAGGGCACAGAGAGGAAAATGAGCTCTTTGCAGTTTTGGCCTGATACCAGAAACAAGTGTCACTCCTGCCATTCAGACCAGCTTTTGGATCCTTGGGTTCGTGGACTTTGGCTGTGGGCCTAATATAAAAATGAGTCCCTGGTTTTGTTTCCCATCATGATAGACTTTCTGGTCTTTTAGAATTTTCTACTTAAAAACTTAGGCCATCTGCTAATGAACCTCTCCTAATTATATGCACTACCACTTTGGGGGTTTTTTTGGAGAGGTTTTTGCTATAGGGCGTGTGCGCTCACCAGACAGACAGAAAGAGACATAGAGATAGAAAGCGAGAAATCACCCCCCAGAGAGGATGGTCACACCGCAATCCCTTCTCCATTCTCCTCTCAGGATCTTGGGCATGCACGCACACACACCCAGCGTGAGTTTTAAGCCACCGGGTGCGGGATTCGAGCTGTGGTCGACTACATGGGAGTTCAGCGACATAGCCATTACGCTAACTGCTGGTTCCCTGCACTGCCACTTTGTATGTTGTTTTTGCAATTCTTCACTTCCAAAACAGGTCAGAGGAGGAAAAAATATGGTTTAAAGTCCAAAAGGCATTTCATCAGTTATAGCACTATCCTGATAATAGTTTAATAAACTTAAAATGAATTCTGTTGAATCAGCAGTCCACAGAAAGTATGTTGGAGGCCCCACAGCAGAAGACTAGTGGAGGCCTCCCTCTCTCCAGGGCCAGGTTACTTGGCAGAATGTTCTGCTATCTTTCTTCTAATCCTTGACAAACTGGAGAGCAAGAGGTTGGAGGCTATTAGCTCTCTATGGTGGCATAATTTTTAATTTTAATTAAAATAATCTACTTGCATGGTAACACCACTGCCTGAGGTGGTTTGTTCTGGAAGCTCTGTTTGGTAAGCAGTTTTGTTTTGCTTTTTAATTTGCTAGAGGTTGCATACACATGCGAGCGAGAGAGAGGGAAAGTAAGAAATACCTCCTGTGGGGGAAATGGCCAGGCCACAATCCCTTCTCTCCATTCTTCCTTTTGGGATTTTGGACACAACTACGCACGCACTTTCCATGTTTTTCAAGCTGCCACGTCCGGAACTCGAACCACACAGCCAGTTATGTGGGATCCAGCCACCTTAACCATTATGCCAGTGGCTTACCCTCAGTAAGCAGGGTTTTTGTTTGTTTTGTTTTTGTTTTTTAGAGAGGGATTTTTGCTATAGGTCATGTGTACACCAGAGAGACAGAAAGTGGAAAATCACTTCCAGGGGGAATAGCCACACCGCAGTCCCTTATCCTCCATTCTCCTCTTGGGATTTTGGGCATGCACGCATACACAGCATGGCGTGAGTTTTAAGCTGCCGGATCCAGGACTTGAACTGTGGTCAACTATGTGGGAGTCCAATGATATAATCATTACCAGCTATCTGCTGGTACTTTTAGTAAGCAGTTTTTTTTTTTTTTTTGAATCATTTTATTTAACTTTATTTATTTAAATTTGACCAGAGAGGGACAGAGTGAGAAAGAAAGAGAAAGCAAGCCGCTAGATCCAAGACTTGAACAGTGGTTGGCCATGTGGAGTCCAGTGCCCTTAACCACTATGCCTCCTGCCGGCCCCAGTATGCAGTTTTAACTCAGCAAATATCTCTATGAAAGCCTATGTGTATGTGTAATTTAACAAGCTCACTCTAGTTTGAATTATATAGAAAATCTCAACTGATTTTAATTGAAAATAGATCTTTAAGAGACATTGAGAGGAATTATGAAGTCTTATTTTTACATTCACTTGTCGCTGAAGGTTAGTTCTAACAGGAAATCGTAACACTGATCCTGATTAGTCAGCTTTTTCTGAATGCAGGGGTGTGGGCAAACACTTACTTCGAAGGGGACCCCATCCTACCCCATGGCCCACCTTGCTTCTATAGGGTTGTGGCTTTGGATCTCTGGTTATTGGTGAGTAGAAGGAAGTTCCTGTCTCCTGGAAATGGTTTTAATGTTCCTGAACTCCAGTGTGAATAATGAACAGAGCTGTGTGTGCCAGACTTGGCCTCCATTTTCGCTAGTCCCACCACGTGGAGTTCAGGATGTCTTAGGAGAATCTGAATATATATACCTTAATATTCTTTTTCTTCTTTCTGTTTTCCATTCACTTTTTTCAGGCTTAAAACATCTTTTCAGTATCAAGTGAGAGGAGCTGTCCTGTGGCTTTAGTTCAGTGTGGTGACTGTGGGTTGAGAGTCATAAACCTATGACTGGAAGTAGTCAGGGCCCTCCTGCTCTCAGGTTTTGGTACAGGGCCATAGGCCTGGCAGAAGCAGGAATCCCGCTGTGCTCCCTTGTTCTCAGATGTTCCCACGCCCAGGGTTGATGCTCTTAGTGGGAGCCTCCACACTCGAGACAGTTCTGACTCCATCCTTGATTTCCAGTGAACTTTGAGGCATTGATCATTGCCATGTCGGTCGTGGGGGGCACCCTCATCCTGGGCGTTGCTGTCTGCTGCTGCTGCTGCTGCTGCAAGAAGAAGCGGAGTCGAAAGCTAGACAGAGGGGACGAGAAGGCGATGAGAGAACAGGAGGAGCGGCGGATTCGGCAGGAGGAAAGGTGAGGCCTGCTGAGGGACTCTCAGATCTGGAAGTCTGTGGAAAACTATGTTCACAAGTCAGGCATTTTCTCACTTTAGGAATTAAGACTGTGCTTAGGATCCACGGGATTTTCTAGGTCATGGTAAAAATAAGGAGCTATATGTGTTATAACCTTGCAAATGGCCCTTAGTTGGCTACCCAGGGTTGTAACTGGCATCACCGACCAGTAGAGCATTCCTTATCACTGCCAGGGTGCCAAGGGTCTTTGAAGGCTGGTAGTCCAGCCCTGTCCATTTATTATAAGCAAGATGAGACGCAGGGAGAGGACAGTGTTTGACTAGGGTAACCTGTCTGCTAGGACAGAATGGGGTCTCATGTCACCAGTCCTCTGATGTCACGATACTTTACTGAGTGTGTGTACTGGGGCCCTCAGCAGGGAAGGTGGGTGGTGCTATTTTTTGCCAACCAGGAGAGGGCCTGAGACACTGCCTCGTCTGACTAGTAGCCAGTGAGACTGGAGTTGGACCTGTTTCCCATTGCTGTTGCCTTGGGGTCTTATGCCACCAGATCAAGTTACCAACTGCATTTTTGTGGCCATTCTCAGAACCAACCATTGGATTTTTGCTGATCAGTGTATTTTCTTTATATGAAAACAAACTCAAAAATCCACAATGTTGGGGCCAGCCAGGAGCATGGCGGTTAAGATGGCTGGATCCCATATGGCCAACTGCATAGTTTGAGTCCCAGACCCAGCAGCTTGAAAAACATGTGGGAACGGGACCAGCAGTTAGAGTAATGGCTATGTCGCTGGACTCCCATGTAGTCGACCATGGTTCAAGTCCCAGACCCAGTGGCTGAAACTCACGCCAGGCGTGTGCGCGTGCGTGCCCAAGATCCCGAGAGGAGAATGGAGGAGAAGGGATTGTGGCGTGGCCATCCCCCCTGGGGGGTGATTTCTCACTTTCTATCTCCCTGTCTCTCTCTCTCTGGCGAGCGCATGTGCCCTATAGCAAAAAAAAAGAAAAAGAAAAAGAAAAACATGTGGGAGCATATGCATGCATGTGCAGAGTCCTGAGAGGAGAATGGAAGAGAAAGGATTATGGCATGGCCATCCCCCTTGGGGGGTGATTTCTCACTTGCCCTCTCTTTCTCTCTCTGTCTCCTTTAGTAAAATTAAAAAATAAAAATAAAAACATAAACACTGCTGGACATTTGACTTACTTTCATTGAAAAAAATGGTGCAGACTCAGAGCCTGGGCTCCTGAGCTCTCCTTGTCCTGGCGAGGGCTTTACTGGTGGCGGAGATTGTCCTGTCTATCTGGGAGGCTGGGGAAGGCTGCAGGAACCCACAGCCTCTCAGCCAAAGGGAGCGAAAGACATGTCCTTGGGAATTATGTTACATTTGTAGTTTGGTGCCACAAGATACTTCTTTCTGTTTTTTAGGAGAGCAGAGATGAAGTCAAGACATGATGAAATCAGGAAAAAGTATGGTAAGAGTTGGTACATCTTTTTCCCAGGCAGTCACAGTCCTTGCGATGTTCTATGAGGTCTGTCTGTCAGGCTGGGCTGTGGTGTGGGCCCTGAGCAGGACAGCTGGCTACTCTGGGGCCAGCTCATCCCACAGGATGTCTTAAAAGACAGAGAGCCCTAGGCCGTTTGATCTTAATCAGACTACTCATGAAATGTAACCTCTTGTATACTTGTTTGCTCATGAAGGATCAAAACTTTTGGAATGGTCCATCTCTAGGTGTTCAGTAGCCTTATTTCCCTTAGAGTGGGGTGTGTCCATGTAACTGTGATGCTACGAAGGTCTGATCTTTGTCTCTGGTATAGCCCCTTGATCCACGTGTGTGTGTGTGTGTTCATATGCATTCCCATCTTCTGAGTAGGCAGCCCTCCTTTTACAGAAGATTTGTCAAAACCGGGGCCATGCTACCTCTTACTGTGTCTCCAGATGTTCAGTTTACATTTGGGTTTATTCAGAAAGATTCTGGGGGTATCGTGGAAGGTGCCAGAAGGAATGTGTTTGGCAAGTGCGAACTTCTTATTTAGCTGGAATGAATCAGATGTGTGCATTATCTACACCCCCTAGAATTACATGCTACTAGCTGTTCAAACCTTAAACTCCACCATCTGATCCTATGCTGAGTTAATTCTGCACTCGTTTCAAAGTCTGTGACAATCACTGTTTTCTGCATGAGAATTGGGATTGCCTTGCACTGCTGGGCAAAGTGGAGCCTGCTTGTGGTTTGGCTAGCTCCCTCAGCTAGTGGCAGCCATGGGGCCTGGGGAACTTCTGGGCCTGAGCTGGCTGTGCTTCACTTGAAGAGCTAAGTCTGATCAGGAAGGTTTCAAAATGTTTTCTGACCAGTGATTTTGTTTTTCAGTTCTCTCCTTGCATAAGGACATACTGTATTTAGTGGTATGTTAAGACCCTACCCACTGGTGGACATTATTCTCACTGTGATCGTTTCAGTTGCCTGGGGAGAGGATGTTTAGGAAACATCGTAGGACACGGCGTGCCTCTTAGATGGCGGTTATATTCAAATACTAAGCCCCCAAAGCTCAGTTCTTAGTGAAGGGCAGCCCCACTTCTACTGGTACTCTGGCTGTGCCTGTTGGTTTACCCAGCCCTGCTGGCCAGCGTGCCCTCCCCATCTGTGCAGGCCCCTTGAAAGTCACAGCCATATGCTGTGAGCCCAAGCTAGGCCTCAGAGGCTTAGAAGTGTCAACCCTGATGGGGGCGGCAGCCTACTGCCTGGGCTTCTAGCCTCTCTATTCACGGTGAGATGTCTGAGTGTTCCGGCCCCAGCCTCCTGGACACTGTGCATTCCTGGGGCACTGTGCGACTTTCAACGCTCTCTGAGGTGGAGCTGCCACTCTGGGCCCTTGCTAGCCTGTCTTCTTGGCTCGTTTCCCCAGCCTAGCCCTTTTTTGAATCTTTGCTCCATTGTGTATATTTACAATGTGGGTGGCAGCTGGGTTCCAGGAGTGCCAGCCCTGGGCTGGTGGCTTGGTGGTGTCCACAAAACTGAAGAGAGTCTGAAGGAGATTTTTGGCAATTAGATCAGCAGTGATGTGACTAGGAGGCACAACAAGTGCATGCACGCACACACACTGCACACACTTGTTACTACACATGGTGTCAGTCATTCTCACTTTACTTTGCCCCAGCCTGTCAGTGAGCATGAGGGCTGGCAGTGGGGTGGCTGAATTCTTGGTGGAATCGGTGTCTTCAGCATTCGTACACTTGTGCTTTTGTTCCATTCTGCTGGTTGATTTGGCCTTTTCATTGAACTGATGAAATTAAACTTTGGTGCCAATTTCTCATAATGCCTGTTGAATAGCTAGCACTTTGGGAAGCCATAGCTGTGTGGAAGATATCTCGGGAAGGCTGGTGGGCAGAGGGGAGGAGGTGCTGGTACCACATAGTTCTAGCACTCAGGCTAAACCCTTCTTTACATTTTGGAAGGCTTTCATTTAATTTCCTTATCACAAAATGGTTCATCTTTGTTTTTTCCTCTAAACTAGAGGTAGACTGAGGGGCTGTCTTTCAGTAAGACCGTGCATTTGGCCTGCACTATCAGGCCTGATACTCATTGGCCTCCTTTGACTAACATGAGGTACAGCCAGGCCAGCCTTGTTCCAACATCTCTCCTTCCTCTTCTTCCATCTCCCCCCTGCCCCCCACCTACCTCCAGAGAAACCTGCAGTTAGTAAATTTCTTGTGATGTCTCCAGATCATTTTCGTATACAGTACAGGCTTTTTTATTTTTTATTTTTTTAAAAAGAGTATGTAAGACAATGTGTGCATGTGTGACAAGACATCCTTGGGTGAATACCATGGATTTATGTTTATGGCTAAGTACACATTTTCTTACAGTTAAATCATAATCCTTGAGAGTTATAGTCTTCTTAATTCTTTTTTGTAGCACTAATTCTAAAAGTTAAACAGCAATTACAAGTAAGTCCTTGTTTGAGTAGTCCTTATTTTCTTCTTCTGTATGCTAGCCAACCATTGTGGAAAGAAATACATACTTTAAATTTTTAAATTTCTCTTTGAATCAGTAGTATATCTATTTCTTAGGATCTGTTAGAATTATTGTTGCCAGTACATTTTATTTCTGTTTTAAAGTCAGCTGTGGTTTGGTTTCAAAAGAAGTTAAGTATAGTATGTGAGCCTATATGGAACACTCATTTTTCTTAGAGCCTCAGTAAATCTTCATATAAAAATTAACTTACATGGTTTTCTTGAATTTTGTTTCTGGTTGAATAAATGGATTTATGATTCTAGTTTCTTGTGTTTCCAGGTTTGTTTAAAGAAGAAAATCCATATGCAAGATTTGAAAATAACTAAAACACACTCCTGACGTGCCAGTCAACCCCAAAGCTGCTTTGAGGCGCACACGCTCCCCAGCCCTGCCCTCCAGGGGTCACTGCAAGGCCCTGTCTGTCTCTGACCTTCATGAAGTGAACCTGCTGGCTCCCCTGCTGGGCCAGTCAGGGAGCTACCCTGGAAGGACAATCCTGCTCCTGTTCCTGCAAACTTGTGACCCTCTGTCCCTGTTATCTCTGTTCCTGTATTTAGTCACTTGGGACATTAAGCCTGCTGGGTTTGTGTTTGTTGTGGAGGAGGAAGTGTGCAGTTCCACTACTCTTATTTGTGAGCTGACCACAAACACAGCAGCCTTCCAGCACTAATGCACATGGCTGCTAATTTCTCATCACAGCAGCAGGACCCCTGTGTCCTCTCTGCCTGTTAACAAGCTCCAATAGTGAAGCGAATATTTGTCATGGGCAGAATTGACCAGTCCCTTGCCGTTTCCCATGAAACATGGACAGCATCTCTGTGTTCATGTGTGCAAAGCCTGGTGTGTCTTGTTTGGATCCGTATCCTCACACATGTTACTTCAGGTGACATCTCTTTGAAAACTTCCTGTGTACAATCTGGTAAGGATTTACTTCCTGACTCCAACTATATTGAACAGCATTGAAGAATAGGTAAAATCACCATGAATCCTTTTCTTCTTCTTCTTCTTCTTTTTTTTTTTTTTCCTGTAGGTCATGTGTGCTTGCCAGAGATGAGAGAAAGAGTGAGAAAATACTCTCAAGTGGATGGCCACACTGCAGTTTCTTCTCCTCCATTCTTCTCTCAGGATTTTGGGTACATACGACACAAGCTTCAAACTGCCAGGTCCAGGACTCAAACTGCACAGTTGGCTATGGAGGATCCAGCTGCCTTAATCTCCATGTCATCTGCTGCCCATTCCGAACTTTTAAAAATATTTCTTGCTTTCTTTTTCTCTGCCTAAGAGAGTTCACAAAAAACCCTCATATAAAGTTTCAGATCCTTGTTGGGTGATGTGCACATTTGTATCTTTAATGGGACATGAGCATCTTTTTCCCATGGAAACTCCTATTGCACATGAGGTTCTGAGGCACCTGTCATAGCTGCTGGTCTACTGCCCATGTACCACGGTGGGGCTGAGAATGCCGGCCACTTTGCTCTCACTGGAGCTCCACTCCCCCTGCCTGTCAGCCTCTTGGGAAGGTACTCATTTGGACCCCTGTGCTGAGGTGGAAGAAGGACCCATCACAGGCCAGCCCCTCTGGAAATGTGGACCTTGGGAGCAGTCATGTCTAGGGCCAGCTAAAGGACTTTTCCCACACAGTGCCCAACAGATTGATGCTGTCTTGCCTTAGAGAGCACTCCAGTCTCTGGCCACACATGGCTCTGCTGTATTCTGAGAATTTCTTTAGTTTCTGGGAGCGAGTCAGTGGCCTCCAGGCACCCACGATGCTGTCTGTACCCAATAGACATCTTTAAAGCTGGGATACCTGCTTATAGCAATAGACCAAACGTTTTATGGCAGGGAGAAGTGACAGTGAAAGGCTTGTGTGAAAAGCTTTTATTGAAACAAATTGAAAATTGTCCCAGTTGCCAGATTGCTTCAACTGTGGGAAAATAGGCCCACAGTCCCTGTCATAAGCCCATTTTCACTCTCGTGATTGTCCTGTTAGAGAAAACTGTTGGCAGTATCAAGTAAAGTTCACGGGCTTATCTCTGGGACACAGAAACCAGAAGAAATCTCCAAATGGCCCATCTTTATAACTATGTGTGTTTGTATGTAACTTAACATTTCTACCCTGAAATTTTCATAAGCTGAAGAAACCCCCAACAAAGTTGTAGTCTTCTCTAACTTTTTGGGCATTTAATAGTAATTTTTTAAAGTATCGTGAAACACTCCTATGTATTTTATAGCAGCTGTCAAAACTTGACTTTATACTGTTTATTCATTAAAAAAAACCCTCACTAATGGGCTTTAATAAACTTTGTACTAATACTGTACTATGCATGTAAAATTACCTTATTTCTTAATTTAGGTTGCTGAGCTGAAAGTAGAACTACTAGTTCTATATGTGTATTTAATCCTTTCATGTGAAGCAGAAACCCACTTGGGTGTTTATAAGGCCAGGCTTGGTCCAGATTGTTCCTGACACAGCAACTACAAAACTGTAATCTCAAGGAAACCGTAAGGTTTGGAGTGCCTTCATTTTTAACCAGTTTCCAATAAAATGACTTAATACATGCTTTTGTTGAACATACCTTGTATTCCTTGTTTTTTATCAGTAGTGGGAAGGTGACTGTAGAGAGAAGTAGGGCAGTTGGCGGGCTGCACTTGCTGGCTGTGGGATCTCAGTGGTCCACAAACATCAGTACCTGTGGCTGGCATGGGTGGGCCAGGCTGTGTTCCCAGTTGTCCCCATGCCCGGCCAGCTGTCTGTGCTCCTGTCTATGCTGACATGGACTCTGCATT